AATTGCTTTTACGATTTTTTTGTTATAAATTTATTAATTTTTTATCCAAAATTTAACACCTATTTATTATTATTATTTTTCTTTTGTAAAACATTTTTTYCATTTCGTTTAATATTCATTTTTCTTTCCTTTTTAGTTTTTAACGAACGCGTTAATTCGTGTGTGTGTTTTCATTCAGTTCCATATGTGCGCATTTAATCTAAAGTGGGACACTCAGTGAAAAATTTAATATATTGGCATATTGTTTCAAAAGTTCATTTATTCTCCCACATTAAAATCAATTCCAGAACCAAAAAAAGAGGAATTTTATAGTGGTAAGTACATTATTGAAAATTTTTAACCTCAATTTCAGCATTTCACTTATTTAAAAATTAACAAAAACTATTAATTCTTGCTAAGTAAAAAAAAAAAAGTGAATTTAGTTTAAGTAAAATGCTTTTACCCTGAAACTCCGATGAACAATTACGAGTCGGATACGTACATATATTAGCTGCTTTTCAAAATTATACTATTAATTGGTTGAAATTTTTTATTAAACATAACCTGGTTTTTGACGCTACCTCAAAGGCGCCGTAGTTTAGAAACTCAATGTTTTTGAATTTCATTCCAAAAGCAAAGGAATATATTCGTCGAAAAATTTGGTTCAAAAAAGGTTCACCAATCATTGTTCTCTAGCTACAGCTTTTATGTATATTTTATGAAGGTTGATTCTAATCCACGATGTGCGGAACACAATGCTCGCGACAGTCTGCAGCAGCACGACAGTGAACTGAAAATGGCGTTGTGAATCCTACTACATGAACGTTTGTGAGAGGGCAGCAACATAACAATGGCCGACATGTACACAAAACAACGCAGTTGCCCATTTTGCATGTACACAATTTCGTTGTGGCCATACTAATACCTTGCACTTCAATGAAATTTTAATATTTTGTTCAAAGTGAAATTTTTAAGCAAAAAATAAGTAAATAGGTAAATTTATTTGTTTTAAATTATCAAAAATTGTTATTATAAATGATGTAACAGAGCTATTTTATGCTTTTATCTGTAAAATAACGTCAGGTTTGTTAGAGCTTTGAGTAATTTTACATATTAGTGGCATCACCACTTTACCTCATCTCTCTATCTTCCATTATACTGTCAACTCCAATGTCGTCCTCCTGTCGTTGGCAAATATAGGATTAAATTGAAGTTAGCGAGAACGACAACTGTCGGCCTGCAGTCGTATAGTCGTGCCGCTGTCAAAATAGGTGCGTCCATAAGAACGTGTGTATTTTAATATTTCACAGGTGTCGTTTGCAGTCTGTCGCGAGCATTGTATTCAACACATGACTTGTAGAAAGTAATTACCTTGACCGTTGCTGATCCATTAAAATTGCGCGTACAAACGGAATCGGACATTGTTTTTTCTTAGATTTTCCTACAAATTCTATTCTCCATATGTCAATTAGAGTATGTTTAACAGCTGTTTCTTTACGAGAATAAAGAGAGATCATAAAAAACACTAAATAACAAAGAGTTTGCTTTAAATTCCAATAGAATCCCGTCTACGGAATCGTTGAAAAGGTTGTAGAAGTGTTTGGGCAGTCTACTTTATCTAGCATTAGAGGACGGATATGGGGAACAATTCCTATCGAGTCCGGAATTCTAAGAGGGTACCTGTAATAAGCATAAACTTTTACTTACTTCTGCACTGGAATCATCCCAGCGCCTCAGTTTTATTTCTCTACGGCGTTGTCACCAACACGGTATTTGATTACTACAAAATATTCAGTGAAAGTCGAGAACTAATCGACGACTTGCATAAAATCAGTTTGTTAATGATGATAGCATCGAAAAAGTTAAAGAAACAGTGATTGTAAATCGTATTGTTGGCTTCAGAGAGATAGGAGAGGATCTCAGCCGTTTTTGGTTAATGTTTTGAGTATGAAACGGGTGAATGATAGACTCGCTGAATCTTCTGCTAAAACGACGTCGAGTGGAGGTCGCAAAAAAGATGCTCAGTAATCTATCTGGAGTAGGCTTAAGAATATGATGTCTAACAAACAAGCAAGCCGCATTGCAAAAGTTAGTCGAGATCGAAAAAAAAAACAAAATTAAAACAAAATAACAATGAATGGTACATTAGATTTAGCGTTGACATTCTTGTATTGGCTAAGAAATCTATTTGTATAAATTATTATTAATTTTTTTTTTTTTTTTTTTTTTGTTTTTCCTAACGAAACTTGATTTCAATCAAAAGCAGTCCTCCCTTTTCACCTCCATGTGTAGTTCACCCATAAGAATGGTTCCCATAACATTTTTTATATCTATTGGCCATTGGATGAATGTTTAAAAATTGTAAGACCCCTCACTTATCAGATAACAATAAAGTCCACAATGAAAGAAAGCAACTAAAAGTGAAACCCATAAATATATAAATATTACGATGAAATTAAACTATGGCTAAATTGTCATTCAAAAGCAAAATGAAGCAAGATTCGTCTATGCAAACGATTTTTGAAAATACGAGGCCATTTGACTTATTGAATGACGATTTTAAAGATTTTTTCATACCAACTGTTGTAGATGTATACTGTATGTCTGCTATAAATCGAGTTTATAAATCTGCCGTTTTTAGATTTTAACAGAACATAGTTAATTAATTTTTAATTGAAATTTATGGGCATATTAATATATATTTTAAGTATAATTCCTAAGACTATAGAAGTAGCATTAAATAAATTAAATAAAAGGTTCAGCTTCTTTAAACTCTTGCAACCAGTTGCAACTAAGTATTATAGTCTTGTTCACCTAACGTATGTATCACCTAAAAATAATCGAGATAGATATTGGGTTATATATATATATAAATTATCAGAATGACGAGAAAAGTTGAAATCTGTCCGTCCGTCCGTGCAAGCTGTAACTTGAGCTATCTTGATGAAACTTGGTATGCGCGTTCCTTAGTACAAAAAGAAATCGAGTTCGTAGACGGTCGTGATCGGATCACTGCCACGCCAATAAACCGGCATTAACCGGAATCGTATTAAAGGCCATAACTAAGCACTCAATTAAGATATAAAACTATAATTTAACACATGGGATATGGTATGTGACATTTTTCTAAAATTTTTATGTTTTCTCACATTGTGAAAATGCAACACGGACAACAACCACGCCTACTTTCCATATAGCACAATTTTAAATTCAACTTGATTCGTTCAGTTTCCAGTACACAAATTAAGAAGCAATCAATGTAATACGATAAAATTCTTCACCAATATTGCCTTTAGTGCGTGCCAACTTATGAGCACAAACTGTTCAAATCCAACAAAAACTATTCAATGCCCTAGGTACCGAATATTTGCAACCCAGTAACTACAGTTGACTTTTGTTCCAAAATATCGGTCTATGTCTGAGATATATATTTGAAATTCAGAGATAATCCTTCTCTGACAATGGTATGTCTGTACATCAAAAATGTGTTGAATCGGACCGGTACTTCCATTAGCCCCAGGCAACTTTGTAGTGCATATATTGGCCAATATTAATAACAGTGTATCTTCGTAACTAAAATAGATAAATTTGAGCGAAAACTTGACTTACCCCAATATAACAAATATCAGGATTTTCGAACATCAGGCTGACTTTACTCTGTATGATTAGTTCTTTAGTATGTGATATGTCAATTGTGGTATTGGGGAAAATAGATAAAACTTCCTTACACTACATAATATGGTTTTCATTTTTCTAAGAAACCTTATGTGTCTGTCAGCAAATGAGTTAAATATAGTATGTATGTATATGAAATTGCTTGGATTTCGATCCCCAGGAAGCAAATATTATATACTAAATGTTCGATTGCACCCTAACTTAGCCCTTCCTTACTTGTTTCGTTTTACTTTTCGAAAACGCGATCATTGTTTGGGCGAAGTTTTCAAAAACTTTGTTTCACTCAGTTTTCAAAATAACTCAATAGAAACAGTACTTGATGCCTCAACTATTTAAAAATTTAAAAGCTTCATTAAAACTCCTTGTAAATATTGTCAGACTGTTAATTTTCGCAAACAATGCAGTCATTAAAGTTGCATCTGCTACACTTCTATTCAGAGTCATTCCAATGTCGCAAAAAATACAAAATACACGACTGTCAATTTCACAATTCGCAAAGAATTCCGACATTCCCCCTCTGTGAGTTTATGATCTTTCTAAGTATTAAATAAATTTATTTAACACAAAACAGACATTGGCAAATAATTTTATGGCACATATGTACATACAGACACACGACTTTGAAAAAAGAAATTATGAAAATATTAAAGATTTGATACTTTTTATCGTCAATTTTCAAAGGCAAACGATAGCAGTTAAACACAAATAAAATAACTGTAATATCTGTGCTAACAAATTCAAGTAAACAACGGAATAACACTTTTTAATGATGCCCTAATGTAATTGCGTGTCAATATCCACAAAGACAATTTGTTCCGAGTATATACAAACATGATTTGCAGAAAAAAGTTTTGATTTACGAAATTGGCTATTTCGAATTTCGTATTATTTCGCAAACGCTAATCTAAATTGGGAGGTTTTAGTTCTAACTGCAACTACAGCCATAACTTTTGTTTTCTTTTTAATTCCTCTGATATCCTATTCTTAGCGCAAATCTCGCACTTACTCGGCTATTTACTTTGACTGCGCCTGCTAGCAACAACAACAGCCACACAACTATTTACATTATTTGAAGCTATCTACTTCACAGCACTCAGGCAGCACTTCAGTTGATAGTTTAATTACACACGTCTCGTATTGTTATCTTATTGTCATATTTCTCCATAAAAAAAGCACCTTTAAGTGCAATAATTAAATTCAAGTAATTACAAATAATGTAAGTACAATTTATGTGATTATTTATATTATTTTAATTTCTCTCTGATTTGATTTTTTAATCCTTGCGCCGAGCTAAGATTATTATTATAATACTGCGAAATTGCTTTTGGTAGTTAGTTTTATATAACCGAGGACGTCTCCTTCCGAATGTTGAAAACTTCGTGGTAAACTTGAAAATAAAACAAGAAAAAGATTAACTTCAACTGCACCGAAGCTAATATACCCTTCACAGGTGCATTTCTTTTATTAACTATGTGTCCAGTTTGTATGGGAGCTATGTGTTATACTAATCCAATCTGAACAATTTTATCGGAGATTATGTTATTACCTTAAGCAATATTCCATGTCAGATTTCGTGAAGATACCACGTCAAATGCGAAAGTTTTCTATACAAGCCCTTGATTCCGAT